AGATCTTTAAATAACGTCTAAAATACCCTGTACCGTTTTTCACCGGGGAATTTCACAGTTAATCAACTTTAACTCAAACCAAGTGTACCTTTTCTCCTGGTTTAATATCACAGTTGATCTGTTTCAGTACAAGAGGTAATCCTTCCCTGTATTTCAGGTCAAACTCGTCTATCACAATGTTCCCTGCATCAGGCCACTCATCTGGGGGTCGGCTGTCTGGAATGATCCACTCAGCCTGAAAGAAATACATTCCTTTTAGTCAACGTGACAACTAGCACACGTTATGGGCGTTCTTCAATCTGTCTGCGTGCCTGTTGTGCACTGGATACTGTGTTCGACAGGCAGAGCCCTTCCAGTCTAGGCCCCGGTTGTTCGAAGGCTGGATAACGCTATCCAACAGAAAAATCGCTATCCAGTGGATAAGTGTCAACAAAACAAACCACGCTATCTGCTGGATAATGATTTATCCAGTGGAAACGTTATCTACCTTTCGAAAACCCCGGGGCCTGATATTTCATAAGCGAGTATTTTAATTCTTTTCTCACGGTCGGCGCCATCTTTCACGCTTCGCCTCACGAATTGCGCTCCTACTGTCCAGACACTTATACCTAATCGCACCTTTTTGGTATGCTTCGGCGGCATATCAGGAGAATTTGGTCAAGCCATGGTTCGTATTTTGGCGAGACGTAGACGATCCAAAACACCCATGGCGAGACCAAACGAGCTTGATATGCTCATATGCAGCCGAAGAGTACCAAAAAGGTCCGAACAAAGAATAGCTATTTACCGTACCCAAATTCGCCCCAGCGACCATCACATGGTAGCCATATCAGATCGGTGACTTTGATATCGTACGATATCAGGTCAGCAGGCGCGACGTCTGATTGGGTAAAAGAGAATTTGGGTACGGTAAGCGGTGATATCAAGTCATACAGTAGATCTGATAGGGCAGGAATGTTTTAGCAGAATTTGGATCGGTAAATGACTAATCGTAATTTTCTAATATGCGACATACCAGGCTAGTTTGTCCTCGCCATGGCTCGACCAGGCTGCTCACTAAATGGCGCTCACGTGTTCATAGGCTCTCTAACTGTCAGATTATAGCATCAAAAGCTCGAGCGTACTAATGTCAACAACTTAAAATTTGACAATCCATCAATACCTCTGCAGGTGTTTCTGAATATTCCTTCACTCGCTCCACGGATACAATGTTTGTCTCCAGTTCACTGCTCATCCGTACCATCCAGTTAAGAGTTGCGGTTACCTTGGTGATAAAAACAAACAAACAAACAAGTATGTTTAAAGGAACTCAGTCACGGTATTTTAAGTTATTTTGGCCGCGTACAAAATTACCTTTAAATTGAAGGAAACCTATTTACTAGTAGTTTGCTAAGATAGAAAAACACCAAAGAGATAATAACAAAGCAAAAAGGAACAAGGATGGTTAAGGATGGAGAAGATTACCACGGATTACAAACGACAAGCTTAAAACAAATTTAGGCTTAAAGTGCAACTAACCCCCCAATTTTTGTTTTCCTTTAATGAAATCTACTAGTTTGCCCTATTACTTCAGCGAAGAAATGACCTCGATTGATAAAATCCATGCGATTCTACGGGCGTTTACAGTTGTAATTTCTTGCCCCACGACCGCGCATAGCGGGATCTGGGTCGGGCTTCTTGTGACATCATCGAAGGACATTGCTCAAAACACTCAAGAGACGTTTGACTAGGTTTCGAGCGCTGTGAAAACATATTTGGGGTATTTGTGTTTCATATTTTATCAAAAATGGGCAAGACTGTTAAGTGAAAGAACTGTACCATCTAGCTATACAATTCGAAGTCTAGTTACGATTAGCACGGCTACGATGTATATATTTTTTCGATTTCGAAGTGCGGGTCGCCAGTCGAGCCCGCCGCACTGCAAGTCACGATCGACAATTTGCCGGCCCATTTGGCTAATCTACTGATCTACATACAACACTTCTTTAAGTACTCTTACCGAACCCTTGATAGCTCATAACGACGAGAGCATATTTTTCCACTAATTACTCAAAAACGCGGAAAAATTCGTCTTTCCGCTTTGTTATTGCCGACCGACCGTATGTATACAAAGTCAATTTTGCATAATTACGAGAGAGATACATTGTGTGATGAATCAATAAATATTACGAAGGAGATCTGAAATATCTTACAATAATTAGTTCTTAGACAAAACTTTTCACCTGTTTGCCGACATTGAAGGGTAGTAAGCCACTTGGTTTTCATCCACCAGGAAATAATTACCCCGTATGAAGCGCTGCTGTTGCGCAAAGGCTCGGATGGTGGTGGTGCCGTTGATAGTCTCCAGGAAGTTGTTGTATATTGGTGAGCGGCTAACAGATTCAATCCGCTTCAGCTCGCGTGAGCTTGCTACGTAAATTCTCTGGAAAATACAAAACCCTCAAATTAAATTGTTGAAGCCTCGGCGCCAAGTTAGAATTTTAACATCTAGAAACTAGTCTATCCTCCCCTCACTTGAGACACAACGAAGACATAAAAAAAACCATTGATTGATTGATTGTTATCCTGCTTTGAATTTACGCACACAAGTAGCAACTGCACTGTCATCAAGGACACTAAACCTCTGTACTCAATCGTTTCCAAATTCAACTAGCATTCGACTAGCATGACGTCGTGCAACCTGGTAATTATTCTGCGCACGGAACTGTCTAAGTTACTTGTAATCCCCAAACAAAGACAACTTTTTATAAAAAACAAAATGAAAGGTGGACGTTCAGTGATGTTAAAAAACCTGTTTACTGGATTTCAAGCAAAAAGGGGTTTACCTGTATAAAAAAATACAAGACTCCCAAAGGAACGATCACAGCCAGAAAGATTGGTGTGGCATAAGTAATCGCAAACATTGTACCAATGACAGACAGAAAGGTCCGGAGGAACGAGGTCAGAGATCTGGGCACCATGTCATCAATACCACTGATGTCCTTGGAAAAGCGGTTCATGATCCTCCCCTGCGGGGTGGTCTCGAAGAATGACATGGGAGAATGCATGATGTTGACCAACATTTTCTGATGGAGATGCCGCGACGCAATTCGTGAGCCAGCCGCCATGGCAATGGAAGCAAAAAGAATGAAGATAGCTTGNATTACCCCGTATGAAGCGCTGCTGTTGCGCAAAGGCGCGGATGGTAGTGGTGCCGTTGATAGTCTCCAGGAAGTTGTTGTATATTGGTGAGCGGCTAACAGATTCAATCCGCTTCAGCTCACGTGAGCTTGCCACGTAAACTCTCTGGAAAATACAAAACCCACAAATTAAATTGTTGAAGCCATTTTTACAACCTTTTCGCCCGGCACACCCTTCCAATTGTTGTCAAATTCACGCCATGCACAATCACAAAAGACCATACCGACAAGTTTGCACTTACTGCGTTTCTGCTACTTTACATCCTGAAACGAGCTGAATTAGAATAGGCCAGTAATTATACTGCGCACGGAACTGTCGAAGTTACTTGTAATCCCCAAACAAAGACAACTTTTTTATTTACAAATGAAAGGTGGACGTTCAGTGATGTTAAAAAATCTATTTACCAGATTTCAAGCAAAAGGGGGCTTACCTGTATAAAAAAATACAAGACTCCCAAAGGAACGATCACAGCCAGAAAGATTGGTGTGGCATAAGTAATCGCAAACATTGTACCAATGACAGACAGAAAGGTCCGGAGGAACGAGGTCAGAGATCTGGGCACCATGTCATCAATACCACTGATGTCCTTGGAAAAGCGGTTCATGATCCTCCCCTGCGGGGTGGTCTCGAAGAATGACATGGGAGAATGCATGATGTTGACCAACATTTTCTGATGGAGATGCCGCGACGCAATTCGTGAGCCAGCCGCCATGGCAATGGAAGCAAAAAGAATGAAGATAGCTTGCGACATGCCCAGCGCGCCATAAACACCAAGGAAGAGATCGCGCTCATCGTCTGAAGTCACGTCTGTGGAACTCCATCTAGCAAGCCAGATTCCTGACGAGACTGCAGAGGTCTCGGAGAGAATGAAAAACAATACGATACACGCGGAGAGTGGAACTGTGAGTGACTTGGCGTATTCCCAGAACACTGAAAGTTTAACCTGCAAGAACAACACGGTAGTATTCAAATTACATGCGTAAAAAGATTTCAAGCTACAGTGCAA